AAAAAAAGTGCAGAAGTCTTGTGGTAGTTATAAGGCCCAAATGATGTCCACTAGGGCTGTCAAATTTGGTCGAAGCCCAAATGACCCTCCCAACCCGTCCAAAGGTTGGGTTGGTCATTAACCCGCCCATTTATTGAAATCAGATATCTTGATCCAACTCATCTCAATCCATTTAAAGTTGGGCTGATTTTTAGCACAAATTGATCAATGATTAACTTTGTCAAAATATCTTAGAAATAATTTTTTTTGGGTTTGATATGTTGTATATGACCATAATAAAAGAAAAAAAAGTCTTATTTAGTAATTATACAATTCATAAGAAAACAACAAATATTAATTAAAATTTGGTAAGAGTTGGGCGCCGGGCTATGACCCAAATTTTAGTTCATCTTGACCCAATGCATCTCAGCCCAAATAACTTTTTACTGGTCGTTAACCTACCCGTTTATTGACTCAGCCCATTTTGACCCGCCCAAAATCAGTCCAACCCGCCCATTTGACACCCCTAATATCCACTATAGACTCTACATCTTCTGCAAGGGCTTCAAATCGATCAGGATTACCATTTTCCAATAGGAAACAAGAAAAATATAATATCTAACCTGTTGTTGAAAGGTATAAGGCTCAATATGTGAACACTTTGATCTCAAGGCAGTGTGTAATACTGCTTTTTGCAGGTGAAATTGGCTTGACCAGATAACTTTGAAATAATCCAGCAAAAGGCAGAATGGACTCACGGGAGGACTCCAATGAGAAACGAAGAAATAGTTTTGTTAAATGTAACGGTTATATATTTGTATGATATCCACCTCTCTTGACCTCTTGCAATCTATTTGAAATGAGTTGTTTCATCAGATGCTGCAATAGGAAGTTCAATGACAGCAGTTGTACACAGCTGCTTGTTTAGCAGACGATATAACTTAAACGTAATTAAACGAACGGAGTGGAAGGTGTGAGTGAGCATAAAATGGATCCCAATCCCCTAATGTGTTACTTATCTTTCTTTTTTCACTCACACTTAATTTGGTTCCTAAAGCCTCAATTTACTTTCGTTTACTCTCTTTTATACGAGGGGATGAAAATTTCCTGCCAATCATGTTAATGCTTTGATAAGAGCTGCTATTGCGATTGTCCAATCTTGGTTTCGGAGCCAAAATCAGGCTTCGGACTAGCTTCTCAAATTCCAAAAAGCTTTCATCAGAGAATGCCACCGCAGACAAGGATACAAGTCATCAAGTGATTGAGCGCCAACACATCATAAATGGTCGAGCAACCAATGTTAGGATGACCAGAAATTCCAAAAGAACAAGATGACTCCAACAGATTAAATTGTACTTGCACAGAGGAAATTTTGCTGTCCAACAAAGATCCAAAAGTCACCCTAATAACCTTTTATAAAGCAAATAGCAACCTTATAAGGCCAACAGTTCATCAGTTTCTTAAATCTACCTTTCAAATAAGGTAATTGTCGAAGAAGTATATATAACTTAGCATAACCAAACTTCTCAAGCCACTTCTACTAAGCTGTACAAGATTGAGCGAAGTTATCCAGATAGGTGAGCCCCTGTTATTGCCTAAGCTGAAGGCAACACATCGGCAGACATGTAAGGTGAGATGCAGCCTTGTACCTGAGGAGAACCAATAACTCACATTAGACAAAATATTCAGAAAATTTATCAGACAATCGTAATACCATTCTTCCTCTAGTGTTAGGCACAAGCTGAAAGACTTAGAGTTGAAATGCAAATCAACAACAATTTGAGAAGAAAAAATGAAAAGAAATTATTCGCAGTAACACAGTTTCCCTCAAGCTGTCCTCTTCATTTTTGAAATGCTTTCTTTGACATCATTAGCCTCAAGCGAAAAGAACAGATCATGTATGTGTACAGGTTCATCAGCAGATGTATTTATCATGCAAACTATACACAACCATTCTAGTTTCCTGAGAACGAAATTTCTTTCTTTTTCCTTTTTTTTATTTTTTGTTTCTGATAAGTTCCTGAAACGAAGTTTCAAACTAGACCATTATAGGGATTTGAGGGTAGCTCACATGGTGTGACCCCCTCATCCTTCTCCCTATGGTGAAGGATCGAATCCCATGATGTAATTCCCCCTAAACCTTGACCCTCCCCCCTAATAGTAATAAAATTTTAGAGAAAAAAAGCTAGGCCATGATCGTCATTTCTTAATTGGAAAAAGATAAGGATAACATCGTACCAAAAGAACACTAGCTTCTTGTGCAGTTGTATATAAACAAGCCATCTTTCAACCTTCTAAATACAGAGGCTACTTATAGTTTACCACAGATGAAAGGATGCAGGATATGAAACTTCATGATTTTCCAGTAAATCATGCATAAGGAAACAGCATGCATTGTCACAGGTCTAAATTATCTATAATTTCATAAATACCTTTTGACTCAAAATGCGTCCTTTCCACCTTATATTTTCTTCTGTTATAATTCTTCTTATACAACATAATGTCATGACCCGCCACATCATCATGCCACGTAGGTGCCATTTGGCATATATTTTTGCCATATGGAAGCTTACATATGAAATAGACTAGCACATGTGGGAAGGTTCTACAGAAATATGGAGATTTCTCATGAAAGACCTTAGAACCCTATGGAATTGCTAGGAAAGTCCTTAGAAGATTCTAGCTATGTAGCATATTCTAGAGAAGGGACTTACTTGTAAATAATAAGGGCCTTGTGTAATAATTATTATTTGCTCACTAGCCCCTATGAAACTAGTATATAAAGGGGGTTATTCATTTGTAACTCACCAAGAAAACAATCAAGTTCTCTCTAATACAAAAGCTTCCTTTGGCAATTCTCCTGTGTTCTAATATTCCCTTAGCGATCTTTAGTGTAGTAAGGCTGACTTGGCATAGCAAGAACGTGAGCAAGTTGTGCAAAATCGTGAGCAAGTTGTCAAGTGCCGCACGTGCGCTTAGTTGAAGACTAAGGACGTGACAATAAGCCATAAAAATAACCAAGTACTATAGCCAAAGCAAAGAAAAAGAGTAAAACAAGGAACACCAGGAATTAGATTGACTAAGCAAAGGGACGCATAATTACCTGCAACAAACAAGTCGGTATTTGGATAAACCCCTGTAATAGAAGATCCACCTTCTGCATACTGCTTTTTGGAACAGGGGTAATTACATAGAGTACATGCTTCAGAGTGTCAATGGCACGCACTATTCCTGAAGCATTTTGAAGCAGGGAAAGAAAGAAAACAATGAGACAGAAGTGACATCCAATAGCACCATCAAGTTTAAGCTTATTAGGAACAGAACACACCGCCACTAACCCTAAACAAACATGTCTAGTCAATGGCACGCACTATTCCTGAATCATATTGAAGGAGGGAAAGAAAGAAAACAATGAGGAAAGTGACATCCAATAGCAACATCAAGTTTAAGCTTATTAGGAACAGAAAACACTGCCATTAACACGAATCAAACATGTCTAGATCTAGTTCTATGGTTGGGCATAGTGTGATTCCTCTAGCTAATATTAAGGCAGCCGAGTCTTAGTTAAGAAATAATGTTCGATGCGGACAATCAGTAATAATAGCACAAACTTCTGCATCATCACATACAAGTGACCACATTTAGTGTTGCGGAAATGGATCCAACAAACAAGATCACTGCTAAATGATGCAATAGCATACAGTACATTTTACTAAGTGTATTCATTTTAAAACTAGATCATTTGCATCATGTTCATGCTTCTCGCACTCATGGTTCTTCAACTACCCTATCTGTGGCTAAACACTTAAAATTCCACATATATAAACACCGTGACCTGCAAAAAATACAAAGTTCTCCTAGACGAAGGAAACAAGTATTTGTCCACTGAAAAGAAGCAAAACTGGTAATATTTTTTTAGAGGGGTATAAAACTGACAATATTACAAAACAAGTGTGGGAATCTAGTTGCAACAACTTACCCAAACCCATGCAGTCAGGAAAACTTTCAGAATATTCAGAATCAACTGCCAAACCAACAATGGTTGCATTCAAGCTGTAGAAAACCTCACTCTTAGGAACCTGGCATACAGATATAGAGCTAATCAGAACATGACAGAAATATCTAGATACTTGTTTCAATAAGACTGGAATAATAGTTAACTAATTGAATAAATAAGAAAAGGAGGAAGCAAGAATGTAGAAAATGCCCCAGGCCAGAAGATCCAGCAGATATGGACGGCAATGCTCTTGGCCAACCCAAAGTAACAAAGCATTGCATGTAGAACATGTCATTCACCATTGCATAACCTACCTCACAATGAAGGTGTTTAATTTTGATACTTGATACAGGAATCTCGTATGGAGGGTGGGCAGCTAATGCTCGAGAGAGTTCCTTGATTGTTGTGATTTGCATATCACTTGGAAAGCATTGTCTGAAATAGGCCATAACACGCAGATCACGCAGAAGACGTGCATCCTTCTGTACAAGAACCCTGGGAAAACATATCAGAGGACTAAGAAACAAGGGGGATATAAATTGTTGAAGGAGCAGAGACAACCCAGCCAATTAAAAACAAATTCTGGATCTTGCTTAAGGCATATGAACTGAGATGTGGTATGTGTAGTGTGTAAGTAATTTTCTTTACCCTCCCTCCCTCACTCCCTCACTCACTTACTTTAAGGACTAAGGTAAAGAGATGTTAATGTACTAGGAAAAGCATCTTTGTCAAGAGAATTATTTCCAATTCAAAAGGAATATAACTTCACTCATCTGATGTAAAAGCTAAAAGAGAGAAAAGATAAATACATACGATCTGTTAAAAGAGTCCTGACGAGCAGAGTTGACCTCAATTAGAGTTGCAACAGCAGCATCACCATCATCAACCCAAAATGCACCAGCTGGAAGATTCTTGCTCTCAGCTGATATGCAAATCTTAACAACATGGGTAGGAGAGATATATTTTAGAATATCCACAAGAATGTCATAGCCAATACCTATAAGACAAGAAACCAGAATCAGACTTGATCATGAAAATTGTATCCAAATCGATGATAAAACGAACCACACTAGCCTAAATTCAGGCAGAAGCAAGTAAATAAAATACAGAAGCGTGCCTTTCACCCAGCCTGTTGTGTTAATAACAAGGGGCACCCCAGCATTTCCAGGACTTTCGCCATTGTTCAACAGGTATGTTCTCCGGTAATGATCATACAAGGCAAATATATAAGCCAAGTATGTTTTGGGATCCCTTTTTGAGGATATGTCACCAAAAAAGAAGCATCTGAAAGAAAAAATTTGGAGTCAGAATCAATATCAAGCAAATTTTGGACTTTCTACCAAAAGATGATGAAATTTCTTTCATTCAACTCATATATTTCAGCAACTACAGAACTTATGCACAGCTTAGCTTACAGGACTCCCAAAGACAAAAGAAAGCAACTTTTCCACTTTCATGTGACAAACTAAAAAGGCATCTCCCTCTTCCAGCAAGATCTAGACAAAACTTTCAATGTGCTTGAGGACACTCTTAATTTGTCAAATGCCAATGCTCTCTGCTACAAAGGAAATCTACTACCAGATTTAAGCTGCAAAGACCAGCTTAAAATAACTTTAAACCTCTGGCGCACGATTCAAATGCAAAGCACGTTTGCTATTAGAGTCCCGGAGGCCATTTTCCATTTATTAATTATTTTTTTAAACAACTGTAGTATCCGGGCCAACATGCACGCACCTCGACTAATTCCACGGGATACCGGCTACTTTCCACCAGCAACAGGTACTAGGTAACTCTATCCACCAAGGTTTGGACAAATGGGAAGAAATCACCTATTGTTTTTGTTTCCGTTGGTATTTGAATCTGAGACCTCAAGTTCTCAACATACTTCGTTGACCACTAGGTCACACCCTTGGGTGCGCCATTCTCCATTTATTTGCCTTCTTTACAGCAAAAAAGCACTAAATAACATATTGAACACGGTAAAAAAATAGACTAGATATCATATCACTCGTCTTGTTTTTTTCTGCTGCAGGACAAAGATGGTGGGAGCAGTGTTGTGAAAAGCGCTCGCTTCAGCGCTTAAAGCACGAAGCGAAGCGAGCGCTTCGGTATATTAAGTGGCTGCCAACGTTAAAAATAAAAAGCTCTCTTTTTACAAAACATCATCGAACAGCAGAGAAAAACAGCCGACTAGGGTTCCTATCTTTTGCACTTTTCAAATTCAAGTTCATCAAGTTCAAGCCCAGGTATGTGATTTCCTCCTCCGCCTCCTCAAAATAGCAGCGAAATGCTGTCAATTTTTTTTTTCCTTCAGTTCTTTTTCTCACTGTTTCAGTCTAAAACTGCAGCGAAATGCTGCCCAATTTTTTTCTTACTTACTGCCATTTTTTTCGTTTCAGTTCTTCTTAGTTCTTACTGCCATCTTTTTGTGTTATTCAGTTGTTCTTTTAATGGCACCAAAAGAAGATAGGAAAGACTCGGCTTGGGCTTATTCTGTAAGAGTTAGCGAGACCAACAAGATGGCAATTAGATGTCCTTTTTGTGATAAGATTTCGAATGGGGAAATCTATCGTCAAAAATTTCATCTAATCGGTGGTGATCCAAACGTCGTGTCTTGTCCTAAAGTTCTGCCGCATGTGAAGGAAGAAATGAAAACATACCTTCAAAAAAAAAAGACTGTAAGGCTTGTTGGGGCTTTAAGCGCAAAGTGCAAATAAAGCGTGGGCTTTAATGAAAAAAGGGCAACTGAAGAAAAAAGTAAAGATATGTATATGTAGTCCAAGATCAATAATTATAAGCATGAATAACAAATATATGGACAAAAAAAGTTGAAGAAAAAATAATGATAAAGTGAAATATCAATTGTTCAGTGTCGCATTTTCAGGACTACACTCATTGGCAAGGAAAGTACACTGAATCTCCCGCAAAGCGAGGCGAAGCGCTTAACATGTTTTGAGCCTCGCTTTAGGGCTTAAGCGCGCCTTTGACAACACTGACAAGAATAAGTGCATAATCTTGATGATGACGATGATGAAATAGAAGAAGGTGATGATGGTTTATCGCTTCCATTAAAATCACAAAAGCGGGGAATGATACAAATAATGTCTTCAAGTTGTGGATCTACTGGTAAGGCCATTGAGGGATCGTGCAGTTGCAATGTTTCTTGATGAAGAGATTAGAGTGCATTCCTATATTGTTCAAAGGCCTTTGTTATTGAATATGATGAAGAGATTCACTAAACCAAGAAGCTAGGTGAAACCTGCAAAGACAAGATTTGCTATCGCTTTCTTGACTTTGAATAGGATGTATGAGCAAAAAAGCAATTTGAAGAAGTTGTTTGTTTCAGATGAGTACACTAACAGTGCCTATGGAAGGGAAGCTCGAGGGAGAGAATCTGCAGATATTATGCTTTCTAATGCATTCGAATAATGTGGTTCATGCATTGAAGATTGGTGGTCCCAGTGTTTTGGATAGCGTGCGACGACAAATAGCGACGAGGGCCCGCTTCACTGAGGCGAGAGGCGCGCAGCGAAGCGCTCGCCTT